TTATTCTAAACCTGATTAATGAAACATATTATATAAGGTGTGTCGTCGGGTATTGAACCAGTAGGGGTATCTATCAACATTCATTTAATTTAGTTTAGTATTTTACAAATTTTTTTTTTTTGATAAGAATGCTGCGCATTCTTTATTGAATAATATAAACAGGAAGAATACATATCATGAAGCATTATGGTCCCCTGTTACAAGATGCGCTATGTCAACTGGTACTTCTTCTATCCAATACTCATTTGCTTCAGCTTGGAGGGCTCGTTTTGCAAGCTCATGGGCAACAGCATTTCCTTCACGACGAATGTGGTTGACTTGGCAATGCATGAAGGAAGTCATTAGTACTCTACAGTCCGAAAGAACAGCACCGAGGCTTGAATTTGTGGAAAGAAATTCATTGTTGATTGCTGTCACTAGGCTTACGCAATCTGTTTCCAAAAAAATCTTTCTGAAAGTGAGATCATGAGCCCATTGTAGTGCCATACGCAGACTGCATGCTTCAGCTATTTCCGCAGCTACTACTCCTTGTCCCTTACATGCCATTGCTGCCAACACTTCGCCTTGATGGTTTCGCGCTACGGCACCCATCCCATACGCACCATTCTGCATAGAAATTGCCCCATCCACATTTATTTTTATAAAGCCAGCCTCTGGTGGTCTCCATCTCGTTTCACTTCTCCTTTGTACCATTGTAGCCCCCCTACCTTTCGACAAGACTAATTTCCTATATTCTCCAAGTGATACCATGTTCAATGATATGTTGGGGAGATGTCCAGCGACCAATCCACAGTGTCCCATTCCTGCAATTCCATAATTTTCAGCATAAAATGTAGAGAAGCTCAAGTTGTTCCTTCTGGAAAATACAAGAAATATTGTCAAAAAAGGTAGCAAAGTCCTCTACTTGAAATTCAGACACCCGAATTCCTAATGGGGAGCCTATCCATACCGCCCGTGCAATTTCACAGTACAAAAGACAGTGTAGCACGGATTCCTTTTTAGTTCCACACATAGGGCATTCTAAATCAACATTAACATGTCTATGGTGCAAGTTGTCCTTTGTGGGTAGAATATTACGGTAAGCACTCCACATTAGTAAACGTACCTTTTCTGGCACCTCCATAGACCACAGCTACCGACCTCTAAAGTTGGAGGAAGAACTCGAAGGATTATCTCGGTTGCCTCGCATCTCCATAGCTTTATGATAGCCAGATCTCACAGCATATTTTCCGTGCCGAGTAAAGTTCCAAGTCCAATTATCATCCATCCTCGTCCAGCTAAGAGGCAAAGAAAGAATTAGCTGAGCTTCATGAGCACTAAATGTATGCAAGATTAAATCTTCTTTCCACTGATGGGATTCCTCCTCAATGAGGTCACTAACATAACGAAGCTCACATCCAGTAGGCTTTGGTGTTTGGACATGGAACTGTGAGTTTCCCGGGAGCCACGGATCACCCCATATCTCTGTATTGAGCCCATTTCCTATAAGCTTCCGGCAACCTTGTTTCAACAAATCCATAGAGTTCCAAATGCTTCTCCATGTAAGACTGCATGTGGGCTTTACTTGAGCATGTAAAAAATCAGTTCTAGGATAGTATTTGGCCTTCATAAGCCTTGCTGCTAGGGAATCTGGATTAGTTAAGAGTCTCCAACCTTGCTTTCCTAACATAGCAATATTGAACTCATGCATTGCCCGGAACCCCAAGCCTCCGTCCTTCTTCAGAATAGCCATTCTTCGCCATTCCAGCCAATATATCTTGTATTCCTCCTCTCCACCCCCCCACCAGTACCTATTCATAATCCTTTCCAAGTCTGTACAAAGTCTAGTAGGAAGAAGAAATAGCCCCATAATGTATGTTGGTAGGGATTGCAACACTGACTTTATTAAGATTTCCCTACCAACTCTTGATAATGGCTGTTCCCTCCATTCACCAATACGCTTCCAGAATTTGCTTTTCAAGCTGGCAAAAGTAGCTGTTCTAGAACGATCCACATGTGCTGGAAAGCCAAGGTATCGCCCTGGTTGTTCAGCCTCGATCATGTTCAAAGTACACGAGATACTATCCCTCAATCCCTGCCGGACACTGCAGCTAAATGTGATGGAAGATTTCTGGAAGTTGATAACTTGGCCAGAGACTTCCTCATATGTTTGGAGAATAGCCTTCAGATTCTTTGCTTCAGTTTCAGTAGCTCGTAAGAAAAGAAAACTATCATCAGCAAAGAGGAGATGGGAAATTTTTGGAGCTTGCCGGCATATACGGATTCCATGAAGTTGCTTCCTGTATTCAGCCCTTTGATCATAGCAGTGAGACCTTGAGCACATAAAATAAATAGATAAGGTGATAATGGGTCACCTTGTCGAAGGCCCCTAGTTGGCATGACAGCACCTATCTCCATGCCATTCAGTAGTACTCCATATCTAATCGTGGATACACAGTACATTATCTTTTGAGTCCATTCATCAGCAAAACCAAGGGCCTTCATTATACTCTCCCGGTATGGCCATTCAATTCGGTCGAATGCTTTACTCATATCTAATTTTATTGCCTACCATCCTTTCTTTCTATTCTTCCTACTCTGCATATAGTGAAGCACTTCGTAGGCAATTAAGAAATTATTTGTAATTAGCCTATTTGGTAAAAAGGCACTTTGCTCTTGGGAGATCACTGTCTGTAGAACTTGCTTAAAGCGGTTAGCCAGCACTTTCGCTAGAATTCTGTACACCACATTACATAGGCTTATTGGTCTTAAGTCAGCCATTGTCCTAGGTTCATTGTGTTTTGGAATGAGTACAATATGAGTAAAATTCAAGTCCTGTGGTAGGGCTCCTCCATGATTAAGGAATTGTAAACAGGGTCTCACAACATCCTCCTTGACAATGTTCCAAAACTGTTGAAAGAAAGCTGGGGAAAGACCATCAGGGCCTGGTGCCTTTGATGGATGCATCTGAAACAGTGCTTGTGTAATGTCATTCTTAGTGAAATCATGAAGCAAAAGCTCATTATCTTGGATAGACACACACGGTTGCAGACAGCAAGTAACTCGGTGTATGGCAGTAGGTTGCGATGAGGAAAATAAAGTAGAGAAGTAATCAGTAGCAATACGTTGGAGATCCTGAAAGTCATACTTCCACACCCCGTCCTCACCTTGCAATTTATTGATTGTATTGTGATCCTTGCGCCTTGATGCTCTCTTATGGAAGAAGCGAGTATTTCTATCCCCCTCTTGTAACCAAATTTCTCGAGAGCGTTGACGCCACATTACTTCTTCTCTTTCAAGCCATTCCTCGTTTCAGTAAGCAGTCTCTTCTCTTCTTCAATTGTGGATTCCGAGACTGGCTGCTGCCTTATAGACTCAATTGATCTTATACATTGCTTCACCTGCTTCTACACATGACCAAAGTGTGTGCTGTTCCAATGTGCCAAGTCTTCTGAGCATAGGCGGATCTTATGTAACAGACTACACCACTCACCATCACTTTCAACGGCAGACCAACTCGACTAAATGACCTCTTGGCACCTGTTATCCCGGAGCCACATCTCCTCAAATCTGAATTTTCTTCTCCTTCTATTCTTTCTGGTATAATTTTCAGCAAGCGTAATCCATAGAGGGGAGTGCTCAGAAGATAAAGGGGGCAACAACCTGACCTTTGCACCGGGGAAGATTGATTGCCAGTGATGAGTAACCAAGCCTCTATCCAACTTTTCCATTAAATCATTTCGACGCCAGGTAAACATTCCACCAACCATACGTAGTTCTATCAAGCAGCAATTATCAATGACTTCTTGGAAGCCCTGCAACATCCAATCAGGTTGTGGTTGACCTCCTCGTTTCTCATCTGCGTGAAGTAGATCATTAAAATCGCCACTAATTAGCCAAGGTAAAGTAGAGTGGGAGGCTAATTCACGAATTAACTCCCATGATTTCCTTCGGTTTTGCCGCTCAAGATGGCCGTAATAACCTGTAAATCTCCACTTACAAGTGCCTACACCATCCACTTCCATGTCAATATGATTCTGGGAATAGGAAAGTAAAGACAATTTCACAGTAGAGTGCCACAACATAGCAAGACCACCACTCTGCCCCACACGAGCAACTGTAAAACAATTCTGAAAACCAAGTCTCCGTCGAACACGTTCCATTCCTTTCTTATCTAGTAGTGTCTCACTAAGGAACACTACTATAGGCTTCTTCAACCCCACCAGCTCGATGAGGCTACGAACTGCTCGAGGGTTCCTAAGCCCTCGGCAGTTCCAACAAAAAAAACTCATTGCAGCCGGCGGGCCTGCTCCGCAGCACCCGCCGATAGAACAACTGTAACCCCATTGTCACCTTCGCCTCGTCCTCATTTCTCATTGCCTATTGGATCATTGTCTGTAGTCTGAAACAAGCCTTCCTTCCTTTTAACTCTACTAATGGCCTGCGAAGATTGGGCCTTCGATAATGGCTTGTTACGAGCTTCCCGTTTCCATGCTCTCCTATGAGGAGGACTATTGCTTTGGGGGATGTAAATAAGAAAATAGAATTTGAGTCATGGGCCTGGGCCGCCTGGCCACCCAAACTAGCCTCATGTGTCACCTGGGCTTGTTTAGAGCCCATATTATGTAATTGCTCCACATTACATAAGTCGGTAGGTCCCACCGGATCACCCTCTTGCCTGTGATTGTGCCCCTCTGACGCAAAAGGGGTTGATTCGGATTCATTATTTCCATGATCGACTGCATTTTTGATTGGATGGTGGTGCCCTATTTTAACATGATTGATCTCTAGTTGCGAGATTATATCCCTGTCTGTAGGATTCACAGGATTCTCTAGAAAATCTCTGCCACAATCTCGGTCAATAAATCCTGCAGTTACTTTCTCAATCATACGCCAATTTCGAGGACTGCTCTCATCTTGACATTTCTGACTTCCTAAATTGGGCATTCCTTCCATATACTGGCTAGGCCTCCTCCGCCGTGCCGCAGTCTCCACTGGGTTACCGGAAGCATCATGGAGCCACCTCCCCACCTGTAACGCAGCGTCATGTTGGCCTCTTTTTGGAGCTGCACGAAGATCCTCGCTGTACGGGCGCTCCATCACCCCCAAGCTCTCCAATTATAGTCCCAGTTCGCAATCTCTTTCAACATGATCAAGCATTCCACAACAGTAGCAAAAATTTGGGAGTCGTTCATACCAAAAATCCACCCAGAAAGGCCCTTCATTCGCTGTCATCGTCATTCCTCTGCGCAGTGGCTTTCTTGAGTCAATAAAGACTCGAATATGGATATATTCCACTCCCCACCCAATGCCATCCCCCGTGTCCACGTCTACTAGCCTCCCTAATGCCCCTCCAATCCTCCTGCCCGTAGCAGCCGTCAAACGATCAGGTGGTAACCCATGAATTTGGATCCAAAAAGGAACCTCAAATAAGTCTTCTTTCTTCACTGGTCTACCCGCCGCTGATTCTTGAAGAACCATGACATGGTTTGCGAAACGCCAAGGGCCAACTGCTAATACCCGCTGCATGTCCACCGGATGAAAAAAATAGAAAGCAAAAAAATTGTTTCCAAGAATACTCATGTGCATGCCCTTAACAGGTCTCCAGATGCCTGCTAGCGTGTTCTCCATAGCTTCAAGGTTATATTTTTTCCGGGTTAGCACTGTGCCAACAAGGCACCACCGTGCGCCGCCGCCGCCGCTCCGTTGCGCCTCATCACCGTCATCCAGATCTAAACCCACATCCTCCTCCACTGTTAAAGATAGGCGTTTCCCCAGCGCTGCTGTCAAGTCTCGTACACTCGGATCCATCATCGCCCTAGCCTCCTTTGCGCAGAAACGTGTTGTAAGATTTGTTGCCTCCCACCTTGAGGAGAAAAGAGAAACACTCCCACCGTGAGGAGAAAAAAAACTAGTATTTTACAAATGTTAATATTTTTTATTAATATTAAATAATATTGTGCATTAATTGATGTTCTTAGTTTTACATTTTTTGGGTATTGGTTATGTATTTTTGAATTTTTAATGATTGTGGT